TGGAAGGGGGCAAAGGGCGGGTGGGGGGGAGCCCAGGGCCGGTTCCTTGCCCAGGTTTGTGCACTGGAGCTGGGAGCCCACCCAAAAGCCCCCCGGAGCAGCGGGGTGATGAGACGCACGTGCTCTTTCTCTCCCAGCTTTGCCAAAAGTTGCACACGTGAAACCTGTGGGTTCCCATGTATTATTTTTAAAGCCGTCGGTTCTTTATGCTGATAAAATCTGGGCAAACCAGCTCCTAAATTCCACTGCCAGTCAGAGAATCAATGTGCGATAAACGTGATAATATTTACCTTTATGGGCCTTAACGCCGCCATTGCCTGTGTTCAGTGGGGCGTGAGGATGAGCAGAGGAGAAAGTTAAGAGGGTGAATTTTACAAGCGAATGTCAGGTGACTTATCTCAAGGGTCCCATTTTAAGCGGACCAGAGGGAGCTTGTAGCCAGGAATGTAGATAGTAAAAGCTGCTGAGCAGTTTAACAGCTATGGCTCTCTTGAAAAGAGGAAAGAACAGTTGTAAATAGGCTTGTAAAACACTAGTTTTAGTTGCAGGAGCTCCAGACCCGCTGCCCCCTGCTCAGAGCAGCCCAAGCTGAGAAGAGCAGCTCTGGTTTGAAATGGTCTTGCAGGCTGAAGCCTGCCCCGGAGCCACCAGCTGCTGCTCGCCAGTGTTTTCTGCTTGTTGCTTAGGAGGTTCACAGTACCAGTTCACCTGTTGCAATGGAGCAGTAGGGTTGTCCGTGTTGTATGTAACAGTAAGGAAGAGCAAGGGAAAACTGTCAGTTTCTCAGATTGAGCCTTTCTTGGCCCTTTGGTGGGGCTGGGTTTGTAATAAGATGATCTCTGAAGCATTTTTTTCCTTCTGGCCACATTCTCCTGAGTTAGTGCTGTACTAGGAATGCTCTGGCTATTGTGTGGTTATGACATGGAATTTTGCTCCATATGTAGTAGAAATTGTTGAAGATGTTACTGGATGGCAAGAAGCTGCCATACCCTTCTCTGAGTTTTGCCACCTTTTAAAGTGATCTTTTTCACTTTGCTGCACTGTAAAATGATGTAACTTGAAGAAGCTTTGCTGCAAGTACTGGTAGCAGCAGACTTAGAGACCTCCATGTGGTCGTCATGCCTACAGCGAGGCAAAGGTAGTAAAGAAGGGTAAAGAAGGTATTGCTACTATGTGCAGGTGTAGACAAATGTGAGTGATCTGCCAAGTGAAACTGGGAGGATAGGGCTGCTTGGGAAAGCTGGCAAATACAGGTATTCATTTATTGCTCTACATCTGTCGGCCTGTGCTTTGGCCACACCGCTGGCTTAGTGTGACACTCTGCGCTAAAGATGCTGGTGATGAAAATATACACCCTTTAGACTGTACCAGCTTTGGGGTAGTTGTAACTCATCCTTCAAGTGCAGCCCTTTCCTGGCACCACAGAGTGTGCGTATCCTCCTGGCTTCCCCCCTGCTGCCGAACAGGGCTCCTCGGCTGCGGATTTCTGCAGCGACTCCCTCCCACCCCCTCTGCAGCTCTGGCACAGGGTTGCTTTGATCTGAGCACCACTTCCCAGGCTAGTGGTCTTTGGTCAGTCTGAAAGCTTTAGAAAAAAAATCCTTTTGTAGTGGCTCCTTTCCATGACCACAGGCAGCACCTAAAAGGGAGGGGAGGAAACAGGAGGCATCAGAGCAGAGGTCAGAGTTCCCGATTCATCCCCTTTAGGGGTTTCAGCACCACCCAGTGACTAAAGCAATGAGGGAGGTGGGAGGGAAGTGTTCAATTTGAGCAGAATGAAACGACAATAATGAGCTCCACATGCATGTCCTCGCTGCCTGCATGTCCCACCAGCCAGAGTCCCTTCCCTTCTCCGTTCACCTGCTCAGTGCTGCTTGTGCATGCTGCGGCTGTAGTGTAAAAAGAATTTTGGTTAGGAAGTCTGGAAGAATGCCTCGTGGGACTCTCTAAGAGATTTCCATGTGCTGAGGTGATGAAGGGATGTTTGCTTGACTAAAGATCTAGCGTAACCCTTAATGCAATCATCTAGTCAAAGAGTTCAGTCATTTCTCTTTTCTGCTTGTTCTCATTTGATGTTGTGGAAGACTTCTGGGAAAGGGAGTTCATTGACTTTATCAACATTTTAAGACTTATCATGTTTTAATCATTAAGCTTTCTGAAATAATACTGCCCTAAAGACACTTGCAGTGTTTTTGGCACAGCTTGTGGGAATGCTCTAAACCTTTTCAAGGAGTTTCCTTTGCTTATTCAGGGCCCTTTGGCAGAAGACAGCACTTCTAGCTGTGGGGGGCTTTTCATTCTGCAAGGATGTGATGCTCAGCGATGCTGAGGTGAGCTAAAAGGGACTTGTCATGGAGGTTTGCTTCCCTTGTCCCACTCGCTAATCAGCATGGGCAATCCTGCCTTGATGACGGTGTCTTGAAGATGAGGCAAAAGAGGGATGATGATAGGTTTGTTTTTCTGATCTAGCTTTACTGAAGATGGTTGTAACTGTCTGTCTTCTAAGACAGATACAGCTCTGCAAAGGCATAGCCCATGTGCTCTTGTTCCCCATCCCACCCAGCTGCCTGGGGACTGTTCCAGAGACCTGCCAAAGCCCACAGGGGTTGTACACTGCTCTTGGAGTGAGGCAGCGTTGTAGATGATAACTTCATTTCAGGAGATTAGTAGTGTAAAAGAAGTTACTAGCGTTAATTGAAGCAATTATAGACCTTAGAATTTAAGAACATGCAACAAACTTCACTGATTTCAAATTGATGCTTCTTTTGCTCTTGTCTGAAGCCCATCTTCACCTGAGCCCTGCTGCTGCAAAGCACTCGTTTGTGTGTTGAATTGCAGTGCTGAGCTGTGCTTGCCCGAGCCATGTTTGCGCTTCCTGGAGGTCTTGTCCTCTCGCTGTCCCAGGTGTTGCTAACAGATGAATTCTGAAGCTGTTTCTTACCTGAATGTCTCTGAATTAAGTGGCATTCTCTTTTGCTATCCTGCAGTCATCAGTGACCGTCTGGCCTGGTGCTGCTTTATCCCATGCCATGTCTCTCGTGCGTGGTGCTGCGTGGCAGGGGGGAGTGGGCTCAGCACAGGGCTCTCTGCTTCGGGTGGCAGTTGGTGCTGTACCTCTGTACGTGTCTCTTCTGGGTTCACATACATGGTAGCATTGGACTTCAGTGATTTAACTGCAGCTGAAAAGACAGCTTTTAGAATTTGTGGGTTTTGAGTTGATGTTGCCCACAGAAAAGACATCTGGTGAGATGGCGCCTGCTTAACTCTGTGTGAGCAGTTACTCGATCTGTGAGGACAGCCCCAGTGAGAGCTTGCAAGCATGCATTTTCCTTGCCTGAAGTACTTCTTTTTGCCCCTCATTTCCTGCCCTTCTTACCTCATCCCCAGCAGCCCAGGCTGCCCCATGCTCCCTGTGGTTTTCCGATAAATTAGGTGAGGAGAGCTGAGGTTGGGTCATGGCATGGCCAGATAAACTGGGACAAAGCCATCCGCTTTCCCTGAGGCAAGCGGTGCCAGCGGGGTGCCAGGCTAGTCTTTATGCTCAGGGGAAACTTCAAAGTTCCCATTGACGTGAGCGGGAACAGGATCAGGCCTTGCTGGTCCCTGGAAGCTGCCCTCCATTCAGACCTCCTCCTTATCTCCCTGCCTTTGCAGTTTACTCCGATAGTGGCAGTTTTATGTTCTCTAAGCTGCTTTGCAACTTCTTGCATTGCTGAAGTTCTTTCTTTGGCTTGCTGTGATGATGTCCATGCCTCTCCTGCTCTTGGCAACATGCTGTCTCTGCTAAGCCTGTGGCTCACAACTACTTTTTAATTAAAATCCTCTGCTGATGTCAGAACTTCTGTCTTCCCTGTAGAGACCTGATGCGCAGTGCAGGAGCCCGAGTTGCTCTAAAATAAGAAAAGCTGGAAATTATTCCCATCAGTTTTAGGTCTGGCTCTAATGAAACAACTGATGAGCAACTAGTGTGTCAGAGGGGCTAATCATACTTTTAACAGCAAACTTAGTTCAGCTGTTGGCATGTTACCAGCCCACTGGCAGCTAATGCATGCCGGCTGCACAGCAGTGCGGAGGGATAACAGTGGCATTACAAATGTGGAGCAGCTGATCCTAATTTTTAGTCCCTTCTTACTAGACTTGAGTTCACTGTCTGTTGCCCATCAATGTGAACTTTGGGTTCAAACTGTTTTTCGTATCTGTGGCAAGAATTTAAAGTATGAAAACAACTTTATTTTTTTGTTATTTATCCTCATTTTGTAACCTTGCCTCACTTCTTCCCCCACCTCAGCGTTGTGTATTGTGCAGCAGAAATTTCCACACAACCTGTTGCACCGGTTCCCGTTAAAGGTTTGAGCTGAAGAGTTGGGTCAGTTTTATCTGGTCTGCTCTCCCTCCTCGTTCAATGCGTGTTGGAACGAGCCTTGTCCTGACCTCCGTGTACAGCAGGAGCTCCCTGCATGGGTGTCAGGGTTACCTGGCTGGTTTCAGCTGCCCTTTTCTTTGGCCTTGTGCTTGCCCGACTGCTATTTTCATATCTCTAGAGGAGTTAATTAAAAGGTGTTCTTGTTCAGGACAATTTGTGTTGCATAATTGCCTGCAAATAACATAGCACATGACTGTGGGGAAGAATGCTCTGAAATCTCTGTTTCCTTTGCACTGAGATTCGCCTGGAGTTCGGGGCATCTGGAAAATCACACGCTCTGCGGCGGCTCCTCTGTCTTGCCTCAGCCCTTGTAGGGATGCAGATGGAGTAAGCGGGAAGGAGATTGCCTGTCTTGAGATCATGTACCTGGTATAATATTAAAGCTGGCTGCAGCTGGGGCAGGTTGCTTGCTTGCCTGGGGATAACTGTGCCTTTAAAAGGAAAATAGCCTGTAACAGAGTTCCCTTCTAGGCTGTTTGTAGCAGCGGTTCAAGTGACAGAACAGTGGCTCCACAAAACAAATAACTTGCAAATTTTCAGGGCTATTTGAGATTTCCTGAAGAGTGGGTCAGATTCATTTGTGCGTTAAATGGGAAAGAAAGAATTGCCCCGAACAGCTCGGGTCTTTGTCTGATCCTGCTCAGGAGGTGCTGTTAAAGTTGCAGAGTTGTTTTCTCTGGCAGTGTGTCCATGGAGCTGACAAAGCCACCCGCACCACAAAAGCAAGGCAGAAGAGTGATTGCAGCTAGGTCCCTGGCCAGCTGACAGCGGGGGATCTCACTTTCTGGCCTTGCATTGCAGCATCACCAGCAAAAGGAACTTGGCTGCTAGACTATTAAGCTTGAAAATGTAGCTAAAAGGACTATACTTGTGAAATGAATAGGTTGACAAGAAACAGACTGCAGGGAGTTGGGCAGAAGAACTGCCAGTCTGGGTCCATAGGAATGACTGAATGGTCTGGGTCAGGATCTCTGGGTGTCAGCAGGGCTTGCCAGCCTCAGCAGAGGAGCTGGCAGCCCTGAAGCTTGAGCTACTGCCCACCGTTGCGGTGGGGCTTCTCCCTCTGCGTGCTCTTTTGTGTCTAGCAACCAGTTCTTTGTGTCTGGGTCCCTTCTCCAATGCTCAGTGCATACCTGAAATAAAGAAGGGATGCTTCTTAAAGCAGCCCAAATTCTACACTGGGTTGTTGTTGCAAGCTTTTTGAGCTTTTTCTTGTTCCTTTTCCTGTCCATGCTCTAAATTGGTGCAAACAAAAAGTTTATATATTGATTTGCATTGGCAGACCTACACCCTGTGTTTTCTGAATTGCTATAATACCTGTCTGCTTTGTGCCACGTTTTTCTGGCTGCCGTTAAATGTTATTTTTATACTTTCCAACAGGGCCAGTACTGTGACATCTGCTCCTCTGCAAACAGCAACAAGGCCCACCCCATAACAAATGCCATTGATGGAACAGAGCGCTGGTGGCAGAGCCCCCCTCTTTCCCGGGGGCTGGAGTTCAACCAGGTCAACGTCACTTTGGACCTTGGACAGGTAACCCGAGTCCTTCTTGATTGTATTGTAGACCATGCTAGCAAGGACCTGCCCCTCTGCTTCTATCATCCTTCAGTGGTCCTTGCTGGAAGGTTGGGATGAAACCTGCTCACTTAATAACAGGGCAGGAGGCTCTGGTTGAAACATGGAAGGGAAAACCTCTTCTCTGTCTTTTTGTAGTATTAACTGCAGTCTGTGCTATTTGCTGTCACTGTTTCGATTCTCCCTAAAAGTTGAGTCACTCATGGAAACCTACCATGCCAGACAAGTGCCATTCCCCTAGAGAGGATACCTGGCTCCTGAAGGGGGATGGTTAGCAAGGCTTCACCCCAGAAAGGGAAAATACAGCCCCGAGAAAGTTTTACAGCACAACCTTATATTCAACTAGTGCATTTCAAACTCTTAAAAAGCAGCAAGTCCATACTGAAGATCTTCCTATAAAGGACAAGGAATGACAATGGATGTTTGGTCTCTAACCCAGGCAAGTCAAAGGGAATTAACATTGTAATAGCAGGGCTGCCAGCCCCCACCGCCTCCTCTGCTGCTCCTATTGGTCCACAAAACTATCCCTCTGGAAGTGGGTTATTCTTTCAAACTTTCCTCAGCTTAGAGGAAAGCAGCAGAAAAGACATCCCGGCTGAAGCTGCAGGGGTAGGAAGGTGTTACAAGCCAGAGACTGGAAGGGCTGTGGGTCTGCTTTCTGGTGTTGGGCCATTGCTCCAGCTGTTGGATGGGGAAACTCCTCAGTCCTCAGCCTGGGGCAAGGGGCGAGTGAGACACCCCTTCTTCTGCAGTGCTGTGCAGCCTTGTCTCTAGGAGCAGCCCCAGCTGCTCACTGGCAGCTGTTATCTCTTGTAATTCAGGATTTTGTGGCATTTGTTCTGTAGGCTGTGACAGTTTGGCAGTTAACTACTGAATGCTGCCATGAACAGGTAGGGATGGGCTTTCACCTCCTCTGCTGCACTTCCCCGAGCTCTGCTACCAGCCCTGCAGCACAAAGGCCAAGTCTGGGTCCTCCTTGGCTGGAAGGTCTGTGAGACAGGGCAGCTGTGGACAGGTCATCTCTTGCATAGGAAGCCTGGCTGCTGTGATTGCTCAGGCAGCCTTTCAGGGGCTGAGTGCACTGCCCCTTGATTTGGGAGTTTGCACTGATTGCAGTGATTTCAAGCCTTGTTGGGCACTGAAGCTTTGTACTAACCTTGCAGGTGGCTTTTTCCCTCCTCTCTGGTGGAGTAAAGGCTCGTTTGTCACTGCAGTTTGTACGATATCTGAGTCCAAATTTACAGCTACAGTAACCCGCGATGTATTGATGATGATGCCCTTCTGTTCGATGCCTCAAACACACACTTTAGTCCCCAGGATTGTCTCTGATCTGTTCCCTGCCCTCCTGTAGCACTTGCCTGGAGCCTCTCAAACACCCTCCACAGATTAGTTCTCTCCCATGAGTGCCAGCTTTCTAAAGCTGTGCTATACACAGCACCAGCAAAATATCTCCTAACGCCTGGGGCACATCATGCGTCGCATAATAGCTGTGTGGGCAAAGCCTCCCGGGGTGGCACACAGTGTGCTGATCCTGTTGGCCAACGTAGGTGGCATCTGCTGTGTCTCTTAGAAACTTCCCAGCTGGCAGGGGTTTGCTGGGTGGGTGGATGGCTTGCGCTCCCTCCTCTGACCAAGGGTCAGCCTGCAACGTGGCTTTCTGGTTGCTCACCGCTTCTGTGGAAAGGGACTTTCAAAGACCAGCTTTCCTTGAGAGCTTCTCCTCGTCTTTGTCATTCTCTGTGGCAACTTTCTGGCTTCAGGCCAGAGCTAACCCAGCCATGCTGTGCGCTTGCAAGCTGCTGTGTTTGGCTCACCTGGGGATTTGCAGCCTTCAGAGCTGCAGCCAGAGCCTGGAATAATTTTTTTTTTTTGGGGGGAGGGAGGGGCTCTCTGCAATACTGCTAAAACCGAGCTGCTGTAAGTTCACTTTCTCTCCCAAGCCTCTGTATTTGCTCTCGGTACCCTGGGGAGTGGGATTGCTCCATCGTTTCTGCAAGGTTGGTAGCAAAACTTGCACATGTGGTGCTGGTTGCAGTTGCTTCACCTGCTGGGGCATTTCACTGGGCTCACAGATCCTCTGCTTCCCCACCACCCGTGCAAAGTAAGCAGTTGCCCAGCTGGTCTCAACAGGAGCACAGACCTAAAGCTTCAGCCCGTTTCTAGTGGCTTCCTCTTTATACATGCCCTTATTGTATGTAATTGCTATAATAACCTGTTTATGCTCCTGGTGAGAGTCAGTTCTTTGCTTTTCCCTCCTTTGTTTTGGTAGGTCGGGCAATAGAAACAAGATGAAATGTTACAGAATCACTAATTTCCTCCTTTTGAAGTTGGGGCTGGTTGAAAGGATGGAAGATAAAAAGAGGAATTCTTGAGACCCAGCGGGGTCTGCAGGGCGAGCACTGGATCAGGCCGGCATACCTGGCAGCCAGGCTTTGCAAATTCCTTGGATACCTGTGAAGCAGCGCAGGTAACACCTTCAAAGGCATGTCTGAGAGCAGGGCTTTTTTTGGCTGGCAAACAAGGGCTCTCCTTGCTCTATGTAACCCTCTAGGGAGCTCTTGGACCAATTAAGATTTAATTTATAGGACTGACGGCCACTGAAAGCTTTTGTCCCTTTGGGGGATCATGAGAGCTGTTGGCATGGTGCTTTGGTGGGGGTGCGACAGGCTGGCATGGGAGGTTGTGGTGTCAGCCCCCCGCTTTGCTGCTGTGCTTCCCTGCTGTCTTTGTCCCTCTCGAGCTGTAAGTGCTTAATTACCAGCTGGAATCAGGTTTCTCCAGCATTTGGCAGGGCTGTGGCAACTGGGAGAGGGGCAGTTAATTAAGCAGCCTGTTGGTCTTTGCTTTTGCTGCTGGGAGCTTGTTCTCCTCACAGGGATGTTAAAATCCTATGGGAAGGAGAGAGGGAGGAATATTCACAGCCAGCAAATAAGTTAAAGAATGGCTCAGGCTGGCCACCCAGCTGGCGTGAGCATATTAAACACTCGCATCATGTCATCTTAGTGCCAGCAGTGGCTTAATCTTAACGGCTTCATCAGCAAGGTGGATCAGAGCTCCCACCTCAGCATGGGAAGAGATTGTGTCTGATTATCTGCTGGGGGGGGTTGGATTTGAATTGCTCCTGCTGGTGCCTTGTCTGTTCCTGCCTCCTTGGGGAGGGATGGTTTTTTCTTTTCAGAATTGTTGGGAGGGAAGAGCTGGGAGAGGAGGAAAAGTGGCTGAGAGTTCCCATGTCAGACACGGGTCTGGGAGCCAGAAATGTGGCAAACAGCTTCAAAAGGGGAAGTTAAATGGATTTTAGCAGCTGCTGGGGAGAGGAGTATGAAGAGAAAGTGTATTTTTCTTGCTTGCTTTTAATCATAACTTTGTGCTTAGAGATTTAGTATGTTTAGGATGAATGGCTGGGCCACTGCATGGGTTTTCTGTGAAATGCATCATCATGGCACCATGATGAGCATGGTTCAGCTTTGCAGGGTGGAAGAATTGGAGGTTGCCATGCTCTGGGAGGACACTGTTGTATGTTGTGGCATTGCTGGACAGTCTGGACTTGACTCCAAAACTGGTCATCCAGTTCTGCCTGGCTTGGAGGGCAAAGGCTCCTGTTGGGACCGAGACTCCTAAGCCAGCCCCGCTGCTGCTTAGCTCCAAGCTCTTTCCTCTCCTGCCCAGAGCCTTCAGACCAGCTGGAAATGGGAAAGTGCCTCTGCTGCAAGGGGGCTGTGGAAGGAGCAGAGGGACAGGAGACCATGACTCACGGCCACCATGGGAATTGTCCCCTGTGATCCTGCTGTGATTAAGTGTCACAGTGGGTGGAGGGGAGGAAAGGGTGTGATGGAAGTCTTTTTTTTCTTTTTTTTTTTTCTTTCAAGAAGGTCATTTGAGTCAGAGCTGACAAAAATCAGGAGGTTTAAAGAAACATGAATGGCTGGCTTCCTGCCAGGGCCTGACATCTTCCTTGCATGAAGGTGAACCCAGGCCAGCCCTTCCCAGAGATGTTTATGGATAGTTGGTGCTTTATGATAAACTCTGTGGAGAGGAATGCTTGTGGTCATGCAAGAGCAGGAGCTTCGTGCCAGTGCTTGCTCGAGGTTAATTAGTGCAGTGAGGAGGTTGCTGGATAGCATCCCCCATCTCCCCCAGTCCCCAGAGTGTGCTGGTCCTGGGAGAACAGCAGAATTTCAGACTGAAGCTTTACAGGGAATTTCGATTTACACCCCTAAAGGTATTTAATTCTCATTCTAGTCCGGAACAGGGTTTATGTGTGAAAGCCTCTACTTAAGGGATAAATTAGGTCTGGCAGTGCCTGGGGCCTCTGCTCCAGCCTCGTGGCACTGTCATGGTACTGCTGCACAGAGGGCACGCAGCCTCCCCTACATGCTGGGCACCGACAAACATCTACGACTATCCACCTTTGCCACCAGGAGAGAAGAGAAACCTTCTCCTTTGGAGAGCTCCAGGCTATTACCGCTTACAATGCGGCTCCCTTTGGGGTTAAAAAGAAAAAAAACAACGTTGCATTCAGTGGTAACTCACCAAGACAGAAAGGAAATGAAAGAAATTGTGAGCTGAGCTCCAGGGCTGGTCTGAAGGTGTGTGTTGCAGTCACGGTAAGATGTGTCTAGGCAAGGGAGGAGATGGATTGCTTACTGGATGTCTTGAGAAGCACCTCTTGAGTTTTCCAGTAATTACAGTGGGATATACTAAAGTTACTGTTTGTTTTTTTTTTTTTTCTGGCCTCTGTTGAGCTGATTAACTTATGCGTGCCTTGAGTTAATTTAGCTCCAAAGTAAAGGTGTCCACTGATGTAATTCACACTAGACGCTTCAGTGCTCGGCCAACAGTGTGAAACTTCTCTCAAAAGGAGGTGAGTGTTTTTCCTGTGGTGGATTTCCAGAGCATAAACCTGCTTCCTTTCCCTCTTGCACTGCAAACGTGGCCCCCTGGGACTTGCTTCGCAC